AGCACTTTTTTTCATCTTTTAGCTGGGTTTGCGAATAGGTAGTAGTTTTGAGAATAGGTAATTTTACTTTAATAAGTACATTTCGACTGCAAATTAAATGCAGGGAAAAACAAACGTTAACTGAAAGAAAAGTCGGTCGACCATTATTATTAAACATACCTAATATTTTTGCATTAAATCACATCAGATGTCGTATTGTTACCTAGCATAGTCAAGTCTCTTGGAGTAGTCTAAAGAGTAATCTCACTGAGCAAAAGTTAGTAATTTTCACACTCTGACCAAGCTACTTCTTCGGGCTTCAAAGGCAGCGGTGAGCCATCGATGCACAACCCTTTAAGACTTCTAGGAGCAACAGCTTGTATTTACAAATGCATGCTCTCCTTTTCAGGCACCAGATGAAAGAAACTACCACATCTTTTACTACATGTTGATGGGCATGCCCGCTGAAAAGAAAAAGATCCTTTCCCTCGGCAAGGCTACAGACTACAACTTCCTGACCATGGTACTGACATCATTTTCATCTGTGAGATTGAACCTTTTCTGCGCATAATTCTGGTTGCTCTTGAGCTTTGAACCATGCACCAATGCCACCAGGGTAAATGCACCAGCTGTGAGGGACGTGATGATGTAGAGGAGTACACCCACTTCTGCTCAGCTCTGAAGATCCTGATGTTCACTGAGGATGACTCATGGGAAATCTCCAAACTGCTCGCAGCTATCCTTCACCTGGGGAACATGAAGTTTGACAGTAGGTGCTGCACGTACACCTTCAACTGGACATACTTGGACATTTTTTTTAAATCTAAAATGTTTTTTTCCCTGGCCGACCTCAGGCACTGTTATAGATAACCTGGAAGAGAGCAGCATTGTGACATCATCAACTCATTTTAAAGTGGCGAGCCAACTTTTGGAGGTTGTTTGTTGTTGTTTTTTCAGCCTGTTCTAGACATGTATAAACAAGAGGATCGGAGATTACCTCATCAAATTTTTCTTATGACCTCAGGTGGACGTCAAGGCTCTGGAGAAGAGTTTGACTCAGCGCTCCTTGACAACGGCGGTGGAGAGTGTGACCAAACCTCTGACCACTGCTCAGGCTGTGGATGGAAGAGACGCCTTTGTCAAGGTAATATTAGTTCACACCTGACTCACCACACTAACCTAGTAGTAGGAGAACTGAACAACATAAAATAGTACAATCAGACAAGTATCCTGTCTGTAATGATCTGTGGTCATACCCATCACAACCTCCCTGTGTTCAGCTGGACAGGAAACTTTTTTTTTCCTCTGAACAGATGCCGTCTTTGTCCCTGATTAGTATGTAGCGTGGTAGCGTGGTGTTTTGGATTGTATCCATGGTAATTTGAACAAGTCTGACTATATTTAGTACCTTCTGGGATGTAGACAGAGGTGAAAAGTGTACTAAAACATATTTAACTGCTGAAGTAAAAAGTCCAATTAGTCAGGTGAAATTTTACAGAAGTACAAATAAATTACCAGTCTAAAAATCTAAAAGAAGATATTTTAAAACTTACTTAGAGTAAAGGTTTCTTTTAGAGGATATAAATCACAATCTAGTTTTTGTTTCAGCTCCAAAATTTAAATGCGATGACAAAATCACACGTCGACACATGACACTGAAATCATTTAAGAGGTGTAATGTGTCATTTTAGTATAGACTGTCTCATAAGAAAATATCAAGCAGTTTGAACACTGAAGTGATACTGCAAATCTCTAAAAATCAAAACAGGTCCATAAATAAAGATAAAGAAGAAGAAGAAGAACTCTTCATCAGGGTGTATCGAGGTGAATTTACGTTCAGGTACTATCGGAAACTTGAGAATGTGGTCCAGGATTCGCTTTGTTTTTACTCACAACAGATGTGATGTAGTATGAAGCATGTACCAAAAACATACTTAAGTAAAAGTAAAATTACAGTTTTTAATTGCCAACTTCAAAAGTATAAGTACACAAAAACTACTCATTTACAGTAATGCAAGGAAATGTAATTAGTTACTTCCTACTTCTCGATTTAGGCACGTTTTGGGCGACTGATTTATTTTTTTTTTGCCAGTAAGAAACAGAAACCAAACATTTCAGGGTGACATCTGTTCTGTTCTTTGTACTCTTTGTAGGTCTGACTGGAAGATTAAGTACAATAATAATAATATGTAGATGCTTTTGTTGAGTATTATTCTAGGCATTTCATTATTCATATTCATTGACCTCATTTTGTTCCAGGCTATTTATGGAAAACTCTTCATTTGGGTCGTGAACAAAATCAACAACGTCATCTTCAAGCCACCAGAGGAGGAAGACACGCGGTCCAGACAGTCGATAGGGCTGCTGGACATCTTCGGCTTTGAGAACTTCAACACAAACAGGTTCTCACAGCAGTTGGTCCCTCGATTGTTTCTGCTGCTCGTGTTAAAAACAGGACACTAACTATTTGGCTGTCTTTGTCTTTTATCGTCCCGCTGCAGCTTCGAGCAGCTCTGCATCAACTTCGCAAATGAGCAGTTGCAGCAGTTCTTCGTCAGGCATGTTTTCAGGCTGGAGCAGGAGGAATATGAGCGTGAAGACATTGTTTGGAATCACATTCACTACCAGGACAACCAACACACCTTGGATGTGCTGGCCAGCAAGTCCATGAACATGCTGGCTCTCATTGATGAGGAGAGCAACTTCCCCAAGGTCTTTTGTGTTTTTATGATACATCACGGTCTACCATGAATGTCACAGTCAGCTTTTGGATCTCACTGTTCTATGGTTCTTAACAGGGCACAGACAGCACAATGCTCCAAAAGATTAATCAGTTCCATGGGAAAGGCAAGACCTATATTCCCCCCAAGCACAGCCATGAGATGCAGTTTGGAATAAGGCATTTTGCCGGAGTGGTCTACTATGACTCCAAAGGTAATTTCTTAAGCTTACAAAAGCAGCAAAAGATGTTACAGTATTTTCTGGACTATAAGTTGCACCAGCCAAAAATGCATAAACTTACAAAAGCACCAAAAGATGATATTACAGTATTTTCTGGACTATAAGTTGCACCAGCCAAAGATGCATAATTAAGAAGACAAAACATATATAAGTCGCACCAGCCAAAGGATGGAAAAAAGAGTGATTTACAGGAGTAGTGCGGTACTGGTAAACAAGCTTATAGTGCCCTCTATTGGCTGTCCGTGTGAAAATAACAAACATGTACATTTTCAGTGGTACATGAGTAGCAGATGTTAGTACGCAAGCCTAGAGTGCCCTCTAGCGGCTGTCAGTGTGAGAATTATGAACATGTAAATCTTCAGTGGTACAGGAGTAGCAGATGCTAGTACACAAGCCTAGAGTGCCCTCTAGCGGCTGTCAGTGTGAGAATTATGAACATGTAAATCTTCAGTGGTACAGGAGTAGCAGATGCTAGTACACAAGCCTAGAGTGCCCTCTAGTGGCTGTCAGTGTGAAAAAACAAACGTGAAATGATATATTTTAATATATAAGTCGCAAACCCAGCCAGGGATGAAAAAAGAGCAACTTATAGTCAGGAAAATACAGTACTTGTTCTTTGTGAGATTCAATTTTTTCTTTTTTTTCTTTCTTTGAGGTTTTCTGGAGAAAAACCGTGACGCTCTCAGCTCGGATCTCATCAGTTTGGTAAAAACCTCAAGCAACAAACTCCTCAAACAAGTGTTTCAAAAAGATCTTTCCTCCATTTCCGTCAGGGGCAACATGAACCCGAAGCTGACCATGAAAAATGCCTCGAGAGTCAGTGCATTTTCTACGTTGAGCATTTGATGTATCAGTTTAAGTGAGGTAGACATATTTCACCAAAAAACTTCTTTTTTGGTATCTTAACAGCAACCAGCTGAAAGCAAAAAGTCTGTGCCAACTCTGTCAGGTCAGTTCCGTCAGTCCCTGGACTCCCTGATGAAAACACTCACTGTGTGCCAGCCCTATTTCATTCGCTGCATTAAACCCAACGACTTCAAGAAACCTATGGTACGACGGGAATTTGTATTTGTTTTTTAACCAAATGAAACCATTTTATTCATATGATAAATATGAAAATAAATGTTGTGTCTCAGGTGTTCAACCGAGAGCTCTGCATTCGCCAGCTTCGCTACTCTGGTATGATGGAGACCATCAGGATCCGGAAAGCTGGGTATCCAGTACGCTACACCTTCGATGAGTTTCTGGAGCGATACCGTGTCCTACTGAACAGCTCACAATGTGACCCGAAAACTGTAAGTTCTAGGTTTTGACTAGAATATAATCTTTGGTTTTATTTGTCTAATGATTGTGGAATATAATTTCACTTCATGCTTTCTTTGGTTTTATTTGTCTAATGATGTTTTTTTTTCTTCTTCTTTCCAATCAACAGCAAAGTAAAGTGAAATGCTGTGACAGCATCTGTAAATCTGTGCTCACCAAGGAAGGGGACTGGAAAACTGGCAAGACAAAGATATTCCTGAAGGTGCTGCCTTTTTGAATTTTATTTGGATTATTTTCAACCATTGGTCTAAATATTCTGTCTTTTGTAGAAAGTTTTAGCATGACTCTTGATTTTCCCTATTGATTTGTGATATTGTTTTCTCAAAGGATTTCCATGACACAATGCTTGAGCTGGAGCGAATGAAAAAGCTCAATGAGAAAACGCTTTTGATCCAGAGAGTCATGAGAGGCTTCAGATACAGGTGCAGTATTTGTCTACCAAACATTATAATTAGTGATGTACGATATTAACTTCCGATATATCTGATATTGTCCAAACACTTAATTTCCGATTTTGATATTAACCCATTTTGATACAGTGATGCAGTGGTGGAAGTTAAGTGTCGCCTTCTTACTAAGGTGATGGGTTAAAATAGTGTTTCTAAATTATTTTCTGCCTCCCCTAGGGGACAGAATTAAAATACTCTTGAGCACATGGTAATATTTATTTCTGTTTCTGCTGACACCAGCATTCTGCAAACAATCCCCAGATTATCAATAGATTCATAAAATTAGCTGCAATGCTGCCACCTAGTGACTAGAGGCTTGTTTACAATTTTTTGTTAACAATGTCATCTCTGAATGTTTAACAATACGTGTAAAAAAAAAAACCCATCACATTAACAGGAAAGCGTTCCTGAGGAAAAAAAGAGCGGCTCTTGTCATTCAAAAACACTGGAGAGGACACAAGGGAAGAAAACTCTTCAAAAAGGTGAGTCCATGGTTCCATGTGTCATTATTAATCAAAGTTAAACTCACAGACCAGGCCTCCATTAAATCTTTGTTTTACCTACAGGTCCAGCTCGGCTTCAACAGACTGCAGGCGCTGGTTCGTTCTCGCCAGCTGCAGCATCAGTATAAGAAAAAACGCGAGGCCGTCATCAAACTGCAGGCCCAGACCAGAGGGTACCTGGCCAGGAAGGAGAGGAGGAGAAAGACAGACGCTGTGATAGTCCTGCAGGCCTACACCAGAGGCCTGTTGGCGAGAAATGCTGCCAAAATGAGAAAAAGACATGTAGGTGCAATTCTAGGACTTTTTCCAAAAATGTGGCTAATTTTAAAGTTAAAAACTTCAGGTATAATCTCATCATTTGTCATCTTGGTTTTATTCGATTTGTAATCCTGTAAAATCCCAAGTTAGTGCCAAGTCGCACCAGCCAAAAAATGAATTAGTAAGAAGAAAAAAACATATATAAGTTGCTCCCGAGTATAAGTTGCACAAGTGCCCTCTAGTGGCTGTCAGTGACAAAACAACACATTCAACAAACAAATGAAAATTTTCAGTGGTACAGGAGTAGCAGATACTGGTTCACGAGCCTAGAGTGCCCTCTACGGGCTGTCAGTGTGAAAATAACAAACATGAAATTATATATTTTAATATATGCTGCACCTAAGTAGAAGTCGCAATATCAAAAAAGTATGAAAACCTAAGTATAAGTCGCAATATCAAAAAAGTATGAAAAAAAGTGCGACTTATATTCTAGATAATACGGTACTTTTTTACTCTAGTACTTTTGTCCAAGATTAGAATCCTGTTAACCAGTTTTGAGATATGTTATCTTATTTCGTGGTTAAAATACAACTACTTTTCTCCTTGAACAACTAGTAACTTGCCCTTTGACATTTACTGTATGTAAACTTACTCGTGATATATTAGACAAACTCGGTTGAAAGGTGCCTCTCTTTGCAGGAAAGCTGTAGTATGAGTAGTTTCTTACTGGCTGTGTTGTCAATTTTTATACTTGTGTTATTTCCCTCAGATGTACCTCTCTGCTAAAGAGAAAGCAGCAGAGCAACTGGCTATTTTGGAAAGACAGAAACACTTACAGGAAGTATTAAAGCAAAAGCGAGAGGTGAAAGCCAAGGCTGACTCAGAAGTCATCGCCGACGTGGAGATGGTGGACGACCTCTTTGGCTTCCTTCCCCCGTTCATTGGAGGTCACGATGGACAGGCACCTGTTGGCTTTGAGGTTTGGATTAAAAAAATAAATAAACAAATGAATTTTATTTTATCTTAGTAGCCTGTCATTTACTGGATCTCACTTCCTTTTTTAGAAATTTGAGAAGAAAATGACGATCACAGAGGAGACTGATATTGACGACCTCCCCATTGAAGAAGAACTAATGACAGACGGCACTGAAGATCTAGATGAGTATCCCTTCACCAAATTCGCCTCCATGTACTTCCAGGGAGCAGCCACACACACTCACATCCGCCACAGGCTTCGACAACCTTTGCTCCATCATGAGGATGAAGGAGATGTTCTGGTACTTTTCTTTTAAACTCACTGCATACAGTAGATGGATGGATGGATGGATGGATAAATGGATGGATAAATGGATGGATAGATAGATAGATAGATAGATAGATGGATAGACGGATGGATGGATAGACGGATGTATAGATAGACGGATAGATGGATGGACGGATAGATGGATGGATAGATAGGTGGATGGATGAATGAATGGATGGACGGATGAATGGATAGATGGATGTATAGATAGACAGATAGATGGATGATAGATGGATGGATAGATGGATAGACGGATGGATGGATGGATGGATGGATGGATAGATAGATAGCAGTACAGCACCATAAGAACACACAAAAATAAATAGAACAGTATGATACAATAGAATAATGACAGCAAACCTGAAGAGAAAGAAAGAAGAAAAAAAACCATGAACTGTGGATTGTTATTGTTGATCGTGTGTTGTAATTATAACATTTCTATGCATATTACTGAAGAATAACACATTATATTAACAGTATTACAATTACAATTATGTACATATATATCAATAGAAATATATCAAAATACATACAAATGTATATTTATGTAAATATATGTATATACCTCTAAATACATACATATACATCCATAAATAAATAAATACTACATTAGTTATTTAGGGCAGTTAGATAAGTATAGTTATGTAAACAGATGTGGCATGATATACTGGCATATAACACCGTATTGTAACCAAATATTAGATCAATGGATTGACAGTAGATTCTCTCCCTTGTTCTCACTAGGCGTCCTTGTCAGTTTGGTGGGTCATTCTGAGGTTCATGGGAGACCTGCCTGAACCAAAGCAGGTGGAGGTTCAGAGAACAGCCACACAGGGACAGAACAAGAAGAAGTCCTCTGCTCGACCTGGTGAGACATCGTCAAAGGTAAATGCTGCAAAAACATAGAGAAAAAGTTGAATGTTACCAAACATTTATAAAACAAAGAATTTCATTCACACCATAAATATAATACAAATTTTATTAAAATACTTTTATATAAATATTTACTTATTTAAATTTGTAATTAGCATGAGGGTTAGGAACGTCTGCCCGACAGAAGCACTGGACGCAGAGAAAACTTAATTTTTGCACATGCAAATCACTAGATTTGAGATTGTTCGTTTTTTGACCATCCAGTCACAGTACTTAAAACATTAACACCACAATAGACCAGCTAGAAAGCCTTGGTGTTGCCACATATAATCTGATTGGTTGAACAATTTTTTGCTCTTGCCTGGATAGATTGTACTGTTTGAACTTTGAACACTATTTGAATTGAGATTTTTTTTGTGTGTGTTTTGTTTTTTTTGTAGTCCAGAAATCTCCCTGGGAAAGATGATGATAATGACATCATGATTGGAGAAGGACCCACACTGGACCGGCACCTAAACCCTCTTGAAAAACTACGCATCATTTGTAATTATGCTATCGTCAGACAAGACCTAAGGTTAAAGGAGCACACATTTTAATTTTTTTAATTTTTTAATTTTTTTTTTAAATGACCAATTATATTAATATATTTTAAAATGAATATTTGTATCTTGGTCTGTCCAGGGATGAGATTTACTGTCAGATCTGTAAGCAGCTTCAAGATAACAACAACCGGAACAGCTACCACCGAGGTTGGATTCTACTGTCGCTGTGTTTGGGGGTTTTCCCTCCGAGTCAGCAATTCATGAGGGTGAGTTCATCAGTTGTATTAGAGATGGATGGACGGATGGATGGATGGATGGATGGATGGATAGACGGATGGTGGACGGATGAATGGATGGACGGACAGACGGACGGCCAGATGGACGGATGGATGGACAGACGGACAGACAGCCAGATGGACGGATGGATGGATGGATGGACGGACGGATGGAGAGACAGCCGGATGGATGGAAGGACTGATGGAGAGCCGGATGGATAGAACTTTATTAACCCCTCGATGTTCACTTCTGGAAATTAAGGAATTATTTGTTTATTTGTTATTTATTTTAGGTAGAATAGAATAGCTTCATCATGATTATAAACCACACAATCACACTGTGATTTTTTTTTGTTCTCTCTTTTTTGTCCTCCTGTCTTGCCAGTACTTGCAAAGTTTCATTCGCTCCGCTCCAGTGGGCTATACCGCATACTGCGATAAAAGGCTGAAACGGACCGTAACGAATGGAGTGCGAGGCGAGTCTCCTGCCTGGCTGGAGCTGCAGGTTCTCAAACCACACACAACGTGCTTTGAATGTTATTGAAATGATCAATTCACTTAAATCATAAATCATACTTTCTTGCTTGTACTGGAGCCAAAGGAATTGTGACCGCAGTCATTTCTTCTTTGTGCGCCGTAACAGGCAACCAAGACAAAGAAGCCCATAATTGTGACGGTGACACTGATGGATGGGCGTTCTGTTAACGTGTCAGTCGACTCAGCATCCACCTCCAGAGAGATCTGCCAAGTCATCTCCAACAAAGTCAGGCTAACCGACACCTTCGGCTTTTCCATCTACGTGGCTCTGTACGAAAAGGTCAACATTTTCATCATCTTTATCATGTTTCCTGTGTTGTTCGTGTTGTGTTTGTTAAAGTTTGCTCCACCCAGTCTTCCTGCTAGCTCTTCCTTTCTGATCAGACTAACCCCCTTCACTTGCAACTGATCTGCCCCTCACCCATTCCTGTGTTTCCTTTGTAATATCCCTCTGTCTGTCACCCCCAATGTTCTGCTAACTGTTCTTTGACATGTAGATATATAAATGATGCAATTATTCATATGGAAAATGTGTGTATAATAATAACTTTTGTTCTTTTTTTTGTTTTGAAAATTCAATTCTAGTCATTACTGTGCATCCTACGCATCCAATTCGCCTAAGTCAGGGCTGTCAAACATACGGCCCGCGGGCCAAAACCAGCCCGCTTGGGGTTTCAATCTGGCCTGCATGATGAATTTTGAAAATCAAAAAAAAAAAAAAAACACAAACGCCTTATGTTCAGGAAATGTTTTGTAAAATTATATTTCACTAAATATGATTTATCTAATGTACTTTTTTGCAAGAAAACAAAGGGAAAAAATATGTATTTTTATTATTAATAGCTAATTACGTTGTGATTGTACTGGTCCGACCAGATGCGGCCCGTTTGGCTTTTTAATACGGCCCACCAAACTTGTCCGAAATTATATAATTGATTTAAATGATCCAGGTCCAACAAAACATTTCACTTTTCCATGTGGCCATATGGCCAAAGACACGTACACACTAGCTGTTAGTGTTACTCTAGAGATATTCCAACGTGATACAATTACAGCACTTGTTGACTTGTTTTTCCAAAGGTGTGGGCTCTTGGCTCCGGCCGAGAACACTTGATGGACGCAATCTCCCAGTGTGAGCAGGAAGTGAAGAAAAGGGGAGGTCAGGAGCAGCACGCTCCTTGGCGACTCTTCTTCCGCAAGGAGATCTTCACTCCCTGGCACGACTGTTCAGAGGATAAGGTCAGCACCGACCTCATCTACAAACAGATCATCCATGGCCTCAAGATGGGAGAATACCAGAGTGAAAAGGTGAGATCACGTTGTAACTCAATGAAAACCGAAAATACAGTAGCCATGTTAGAGATTTGCACAACTCACTTTTACCGACACTTCCGACAGGAGGATGACTTAGTGCAGCTTGCTGCCAAGCATTTGTATATTCAGCACAGCACGGAAAACAAACAAATGAATGCAAAACAAGCTGTTCAGGACTGCATCAACAACTCTCTGCTGGCCTCCAAGTCAGAGACCAAATGGATTCAGATGGTCAGCGCTGCTCACGCTCAGGTCAGTCGAGGCCCAGAATAGAATCTATGGCACGAACGTCAGCAAATCATAATAACAGTTCTTGTTCTATTTCAAATCGCCCAAGGCCCCATATGTGACTTCAAAGCAGTCGGTGGATACAGTGAAGGCGGAGATGACCGACTACACCCGGAAGAAGTGGCCAATGTACTTCTCCAAGTTCTTTCAAGTTGTCAAAATCTCAGGTAGGCATTTAAATGTGCCACCTTGTGCAGGGATTCTCAAGTGGTGGGTCACAACCCGAAAGTGGGCAGGCTTTTGCCAAGGCAAAAAAAAAAAAATGTTGAGAAAATGTGAATTTGAACCTATAACCTACTGAAGCAGGCAACCACGTCACTGCTGCCCACTTTGATGCCATTTCACATAGTTTGCTTTTTTTTAAAAAAAAAAAATTATTGGCCATTTTGAACCCTCCAGCGGGCCGATTTCGGTCTGCTGGCTGTATGTTTGACACCCCTGCTCTAGGGTATACATGTAGAGAAATGCTGCCCTCCATGATTCACATTGACAAGTGCATCATTAATTGTATTACTCCTCCCAAACTGATAAGGTCCACCACTGCCAAAGAATAACTTTATCGTGGCGGTAAACTGGACTGGAATCACATTCCTGGATGAAAGAGAGAAGAGGCTGCTGGAACTTTCCTTCCCTGAAGTAACAGGCGTCAACACCGTAAGGTAACGGCTCAAACCAGTACAGGCTTGAACAAGGTGTTGCTAGCTGCTGACTTTATACAGTAGCTATCACTGTAGGTGTTGTCACACGTGATCTCATTCTCGCCATGTTTTTGACCTTTAGATATGGAAAGGCTTCAGGTCAGGGAGTGTGTCTGTTGACGTTGAAAGGAGACTTCACTCTGAGTGGGTCATCAGCCGATGAGATGTACGAGTTGGTCACCATGTTCCTGAGTGGACTGACGGAGCGGTCGGAATACGCCGTGGCTTTAACTGATGCCAACAGACAAGGTCAGAGAACCATGAGCACGGACTGAGATGATTTGGTTTTTTTTTGTTTTGTTTTTTTTTAATGATGAAGTCCTTAGCTGCTGACATTTCTCTGCAGATGACCCCACCTTCCTCAGCTTTAAAAAAGGCCAGCTGATTTGTATTATCAAAGATGATGAGTTCTCAAAGCAGCGTGGCTGGATAAAAGGTCACTCTGAGAGCACGGGCAAAACGGGAGCCGTCTCCACTGAAGCCATCTTGATCCTACCGACACTCAGCAAACCCACCACGGAGGTCATGGTATGGAGATGTGATCCATCTTCCTCAGATGACTCACTAGTACATGGTTCCAGAGAACACTGAAGATCGTCCGATTATTTTTCATTTCAGAAACTCCTCAACGTTTCACCTAGTGAGAGGAAAAACATTCTACATGAAAATATGAAAGGGACAATGGATAGAATGGCTCCGGCTACACTGAGGGAATTTGCCATCGAGTACTTCAGGTATGTGCAAATACACTTTAATTTATTTTAAGTTTGCAAGAAAACTTTCAAATGATGTAACCACTTTCCTATTATTTTCCTTTTTTTTCCATAGACAGCCCACAAAAGATGTCAACCGCCAGGTGATGTCCAGGAATTCTGCTCCTGAAAAGTTGTGGCTACACTCCAGGGAGCCGCTCAAACAGCCGCTTCTGAAGAAACTGCTGCACAACACCGACTTGAGCCACAAAGCATGTCTGGCTTTCACAGATATCCTACACATCAGGTGCATTGTGGGCCTTAATGCTCCATAGTTTCATTTATTATTATTATAATCAAAAAAACAAACAAGACAGTCTTGCATCAATTCTATGGTTACCTGTAGTGTAAAAGTGTGTAAGTAAAAGTATACTTTTATGTATATTACTTTGCTGAATTCTACTCAAGTAAAAAGTAAAAGAACAATCTAAAAATCTACTCCATTAAAAGTAAAAAAAAAAATACTTAATTTAAAATGTATTTTGAGTAAAGTTTACTTAATTACTTCAAATTACTTGCAAAAAAGGACGAGGCATACATCCAGTCAGCATCGAATGATAAAGTTATTGCGTAGTAAAATACTTGAGTCAAAATGTACTCAAGTAAAAGTAAAAATACCTTTGCCCGAAACAAATTACTCACAAAAACTTCTCAATTACAGTAACTGGAGTAAATGTAATTTGTTACTTTCCACCTCTGTAAAGACGCATATATTGACTTTGCATTTGCTCAGTTAGCAGTTGAAATAAAGTTATTAATGATGGCTAAATGAATAACCTGGCTGATCTTCAAATATAAGACACTCCTCTGCACAGCTTACCAACAGATCAACTTCTAAAACTCTGATTATCTAACCACAACATGTGCCCCAAGTCCAGTTTGGGAAATTCCATTTCCACTGTACTTCCTTGACTTTTGTCCACCTATCCTGAAATACATGGGCGATTATCCCACCAAGCAGATCCACAGTTCACTGGAACTCACCGACCAGATTTTCGGCCAGGCCACTCAAAGCGAAGCCCTGCGGGATGAAATCTATTGCCAGATTATGAAGCAAATGACCAACAATAACAACAGGTACGTTCCTCAGGTTGTAAATTTCACTATTATCTATAAGGAAAATACATGTTGTTAGATGTGGGTAAACATTACTGATTGCTGCAAAAAAAAACTTATTTCCAGCACATAATATTTTGACATTTGACCTTTAAATTGTGTTAATTGTAGCTGATCAAATCAAAAATATCATTGTGAGCCTTCTTGTGTGTTTTTGCCCGACGTCGATGTGTCACGCAGGTTCAGCCTGGAGCAGGGCTGGCAGCTGCTGTGGCTCTGCTGTGGCCTGTTTCCAACCAGCCAAACTCTTCTGAGGCATGCACGGAAATTTCTAGAATCACGCCGCAGAGAGCCTCTGGCTTCAGACTGTCTACAGAGGCTGCAGAGCATGTTAAGGTGGGATCATCAACATTAGCTTTGCTGAACCTGAGCTGCAGGCTTAGAATTCACATGATTTATATTTATGTTGTGTGTGTTCTCTATTCAAAGTTGAGATGTGCAGGTTTAGATAAAAAATATTTTTTACGTTTAAATTAATTAAATAATTAAAATTAATTATTAAATCATTAAAAATTCAAAATAAAAATAGATTTAGCCTAAAATTGCAAAACATTACTCAATTTTTAAATATGATAACAAATAAAACTCATTGTGAAATATATCTGTCCGTACTGCAGTGAAAATGTACAAAGCCAATAGAAAACTACAAGAACCACGGACTCTTTCAGGAGAGCGTCAAAGAGGGTTGATTACTCATATATTACCGCGTGGTGGCAAGTTGGTAAAATGCTTTACAGAGAGAAGATGAAGGGTTCGCTGGTTCAGTCTTTCGTGTGCGTGGGTTTTCCTCCCACACCCCATAAACATGCTGATCAGGCGATTAGCTTGATTGGTCACTCTAAATCAGGGCTGTCAAACTCATTTTTGTTCAGTGGCCACAAACAGCCTGATTAGATGTCAAAATGTCATAACATAATTACCTATAAATAACAATACTCCCATGTTTCCTCTTTGTTTCTTTCTATGCAAGGAAGTACACGCTTTTTAGAAAATATTAAGAAATGTCATTTGAAAAACACATCACAAGAGTTTGTGCATTTTTTTTACTTTCAAAATTAATCACGTAGCCCAGATTAAATCTCCCAGTGGGCTGGATTTGGCCCACGGGCCTTATGTTTGACACCCTTGCTCTAAATTGACCAAGTTATAAACTTGAGATTGAATGGTTGTTTGGCAGTATACATTAAACTTTGTACAATGTCTGAATTTTGAATGAAAATATAGACCTTCAGCATCTCAAAAAGTTAATAGTTTAATAAAAATAAAAATAATAATTATTGCTAATTATTAATTAATTATGTAATAATTTAATGACTATTATTAATAATTATCAAAATAATTACTAAATATTTTCCCATCAGTCTTTTAGCTTTCTCTTTATGTATTTTCTCTTTAACAGAATTTATTTAGTTATTTATTAAAAGTGTAATTTTTTTTATATTCTGATAATCTGTAGGATGGAGCCCAGAAAACTTCCACCACATCAGGTGGAGGTGGATGCCATCCAACAGAACAGCATCCAGATCTTCCACAAAGTTCATTTCCCCAATGACACTGAGCAGGTATGGATGTGGAAAAAGTCACAGGACAAACAAACAAAAAAAAACAAACCCCAACGTACGTTTAACTCCTACCCTCCATTTGATGACAAACAAAAAAAACCCAAAACCAAACCCCAACGTACATTTAACTCCTACCCTCTATTTGATCTCGTCCCAGATATTTGAAGTTGCAACAAACACCAAAGTCAAGGATCTCATCCAGAACATTGCCAACAAGCTCAAACTCTCCTCAGCGCACGGCTACAGCATTTTTGTCAAGACGCAGGACAAGGTTAACTTGACAGATTTCGAACTCGGACGTCTGATGCCTTTGATGAGGTCTGACCCTCGGTCATGTCTGTGTTTCAGGTCCTCAGTTCAAATGATGCCGACTACTTCTTTGATAGTCTGAGACAAATCACTGACTGGTCCAGAAGAACCAAGAGAGTCAAGGATGGTAGGTCAATGTCCAGTGGTGTGAGAGACAGTTGGACACTTGATACATGATTTATTATTTAACTGTCTGTGACTGTCTGTCTGTAGGTGGGCCTGTGAACGTATCCTACATCGTGTTCTTCATGAGAAAGCTGTGGTTCAATGTGACCCCAGGCAGAGACTTACAGGCGGATCTGATTTTTCATTTCCCACAGGTGGAGTACAGTATATTTGAGTATTAATATTGCACAGAAAACCTAAAGACACAGATCGATGATTTAAAATTTATATTTTGCAGGAGCTGCCAAAGTACCTGAGAGGCTATCATGTCAGCAGCAGAGATGATATGATAAACATCGCAGCTTTGCTCTTCAGGGTGAAGGTGGGCAAAGACAAAAGCCAGTTTGTCATGATAACCAAAATGCTGAAGGAGCTCGTGCCCAGCGACCAACTCAAGGCCATTTCTGAGAATGAATGGAAGAAGGTATGATGATGATGTTGATGATGTTGTCAAAATACTAATTTTTAAAGCAGGGGTCTCAAACTCCTGGCTCACGGGCCACATCCCAACCATGGACCTCTCTAAATCTGTCCCGCAACTAGATTTCACTAAAGATTTTTCTTTTTGTTCTTGAGGATTTTTTAAAATTTATTTTCAGTTGTTTTGTATGTCCACTGGTTAATGGTAGTTGTTTTTTGTTTTTTTTTGTATTGAACATTAATACCTGATGGGGCCTAGTTTGACACCGTCTACATTTCATGGCCTGTCTGAGGCAGAAGTAAAGACAACAAATATATCCCCATGTTTTGGTCCAGAGGTGATGCCTGATAAAAAAAATATGTGCATTTTCTTTAGGTTAGTAATTGAACAGCTTCCCAGTTTTTACACACAGTCTTATTAAAGTGATATGTACGTTTTAACTCCACCGAGTCATAAAAATACCACAGCGACCATCCCAGCTCTTGAATTCCTCCTTATTTCGCCCGAGGCTGAACTGAAGTCCTCTGCTAAAGCTCTGCTGACAGAAGACGTAAATCTTTGACAGCAATAAAGTCGTCTCCACACTCGAACTAAAGGGCTTGTTGGTCGGTCAGAGAACATAAAAGTCATCATAAACAGATCTCAATAGACGTACTGTTGTGAACACAGTCTTTTTCATATTTAAATCTCTTTATTTTCTTACAAACCTGAGGGTGTATATATATATATATGTATATATATATATATATATGTATGAGTGTATATATATGTATGTCTATATATGTATGTGTGTATATGTATATATGTGTATATTTGTATGTGTATTTACATGTATGTATATGTGTATATATGTTTATATGTATGTGTGTATATACATATGTATATATATATGTGTATATATGTATGTGTGTGTAATATATACATATGGATATATGTATACATGCATATATGTATGTGTATATATATATATATGTGTGTGTGTGTGCGTGTTTATTAATTGAAAATCTTCTTTTAAGGCCACTGTGTATTATATTTGTCTGTTCTACTTCCAGAGTATAGTTGCGTATTACAACAAACACGGCGCCATGACGGCTGACGAGGCCAAGGTGGCGTTTCTGAAAGTTGTTTGTAAATGGACGACCTTTGGATGCGCTTTCTTTGAAGTCAAGGTATGAGACGCAGTGAGAGCGTCACGTTAGTTTCGACTCTCCGACCCATGCAATAAGGAATGGAGCCAAGGGAATAAAATGGAGGCAATAAAAATATAAGTGCGTCACAGGCATAAATTTATGATTTAATTTTCTTTCTTTCCTTTTATTTTGTTCTTAGCAAACATCCGACCAAAGTTTCCCAGATATTGTGCGAATCGCCATCAGTAAGCAGGGGCTTACAATCTTTCACCCTAAAACCAAGGTTAGGAAAGATCTGTAAACGTCTGATATTGACTGTTTAAATTCTCTGTTCTATTATTTTAAAAAAAATCTTCTTGTTTTTTTTTTTAAAGGCTGTTTTGGCAAATCACCCATTCACCCGCATTGCAAACTGGTACAGTGGAAGCACCTATTTCCACATGACTGTGGGCAATCTGGTGAAGGGAAACAAGTTCCTGTGTGAGACGTCAATGGTAAGAGTCCACGACTTCATATAGTCGAGCGGCTGCGCGAGCTTTTATTTACCTTTTGTTGTGTTATTTTGAAAGGGCTACAAGATGGACGACCTGATATCGTCTTATGTCAACATGTACCTGAAAGAGCGGAGGGCGGAGCAAACCAGAAACTAAGGCTTCAACGCGTGAGCGACACAGCGCACTATTGACATCTGAGAAACACAAATAACAGAAAAGCACATAATCTTTAGTGAAATGAACATTTTTGTACTTGAGCAGAACAGACAATGATTAATTTACAAAACTTTAGAATTGCTAAAAAAAAAACTTTGATTTTTAAGTATTGGAAACAGGGAAAACAATCAAACAAAAAAAAAGTTATTGTTAAGTTTTTAACGTTGGAAATAGGGAAAACAATCACAAAAAAAAGTTATTGTTAAGTTTTTAACAAACGTGCACTATTGTTAAGTAAACGTAAAAATGTTGTTGATGTTAATTTGAACTCAAACTGATTTAATTGTATGATAATTTGAACTCAAACTGATTTAATTGTGGTTTAGTATCGTTATTTTAACATAAATGGCTGTATGTGTGGGAAGGTAAAATTCCAGTTTTTCCTTCTGGTTTTTTTCTGGATTTAAAAAATAATCAAAAAATAACATTTTTTTGGTAGTGATTCATATGAGTATTTATCTCGTTGTACTAGCCGTACAAATCCAAATAAGAGCAGTACAAAGTCAAAATTTACAATAGAGATCAGGGAGCAGGGATGGCTGCCTTGATGTATTATTGGGTGGATGGGTGGATGTAAGAATGGATGAGAGGAAGCACCTATATTACCTAGTCTAAATAACAACTACAGCAGGGGTCCTCAACCTCTGGTCTGGGGACTGGTGCCGGTCCCTGGGTCATTTGGTACCAGGTCACAGTGAAAAAATCTACTTCAGTTTTACTAATTTACTTCATTCCAAAAAAAAATCCAGTCATATCCCTTAACATTTTCATTCAAAGATAATCTGTCAATGTTTCAAAACAACAGGTCAAAGGTCATTCAGACTCTCATACTAACAAAATAAAGTCTAAAAGATGTTTTATTTTGAAAATTTAATGATCCTTCAACGATGGCGAGGTATTACTGATCCACAATAACGACTGATAAAACATAAAAAAATTCTTGAGTGCAAGTTGTGCACATTTCAACACAAAAACGAATCCAAAAAAAAAAAAAGAGCGTTACGCATTATAAAGAACCCAATCAAATTTTGTGAATTCTGTGAAGTTTGTCTGTTTGCCGAACTGCCTCACGTCTTTCACAGTCAGCAGAAAACCGCTCTCTGTTCTGACTGAACCTCCGCAGTGGTGTGAAGAATGTTATATTTATGATGGCAGCCGCTGACAAAAGGCAATGTTTTTGCTTCAGGGTTACAAGAACCCATAACAGACAGGGAGGAGACACTGGACAAAAGCGGGGGCGTCCCAATTAGCACTTGGCAGTAGATTAACAGGGTATTGATGTCAAAGCTCCTTCAGAGCCCTGCATGGACGGATAGATGGTGGCTTTCTTCTGGTCCACAGAGAAGCGTTTGCATCTCGACGATAAGAAGACTAGAAGGGGAGCGTGTATGTGACACACAGCTGTGAAATCCCCGTATGAAAGAAATATTATGTGCATCTTCTCTCCACATCTGTCCCAGGCCTGAGTGACTGATTATTTTGGGCATTCTTATTAAGGATGCCCCCAGGAGATGAGGGACCAACAAGGGCTTCTGTTTACTGCAGACATCCCCCCTGTCCCCCCCTCCCTTCCCTGTTTTTCACTTGCACACCCATAGGGCATGATGGGCCCCTCTTTGGAACCTAACGGACCACAGACAAAAGATCATCTCTGAGACTTCAGTCATAAACTTCTCAATTAACCGCACAGTCTTCCCAATATTCCATCTGCGGCGTGGTGCGGAGTTCACGGCGAAGGCGCTCGTTTGCACCACGAGGCTCGGTCTCCATGGAGCCGTACCCGACAATCTCATCGCGACTGAGGCACGCCATTCTTCTCCCCGCGGCTAAAACGCGCCGCTCATTCTGACTCAGGCTATTGTGGCGCGCACAAGTGGCTCTCTGAGGAGAAGGGCTATGAAGAAAGAAAGGGTGGGGTCAAAGTTCAAACCAAAGGCTCCCATCAGGACTCCCTTTCTGTTATCAAATTTGTCGGGACACAAAAAGGGCTACAGTCTTACTCCCGAGAGCATCTCGAGGGAGAGAAAAAGGAGGTTATAGGACAGCGTTCCCACTAGGAGGGCTTCAGTCCGTCCTCGGCTCAGCGCTCAAACTCTCAGTCTCTGCACGCAACTGCTGCAAAGCTGCTGCTGCTCCTCCAGCAGCTGACCTGATCCTGCGCCTGAAGACCTCTGGCTCATTGGGGTAGGTCTTTCTAACCTTTGATTATTAAATCATCCTCATTTACTTATTGTATATGTATAAATATATACAGTTTGAATATGATTTTTGAATTGTTTACACTTTACTGTGAGGTAGCACAGAGAGTTTGATAAGTAATCTCTAGGTTGTGTTTAGCATTTTTATGTGTTTATTTATTTATTTGTAATCCTAGCAACCCAAAAAAGTCACTTCTCAATTTTTGGGGGAATTTATTGAATGTGAATCTTTTATTGAATCACCTTGTTTCACCTTGTGCCCAAATCCAATTCAGTTGTAACCTAGCCAAAAATCTTTGAATAGTATTTAATTGCGCACAACACCCTCTACAGCTTTAAACCCTAATCCCTGAATAAGAACGGTCAGTCTGTACACATCTGCTCAGCCAGGTCACTGTGACGGAGGAGTGTGTCTGAATGGTCTCACGTCCAGATTATCACCCTGGGAACTGTATTTATTTACGCATTTCTATTCATTAGTGCTGCGGTTTTTTGTTTTTTTTTTTTTTTATACCCCAAGTAACTATGTGGGGCAATTTCAATGCCCTGAAAAGTTGCTGAGTGAGCTGAGTCTCAGCCTCGTCTGGGAATTACCCCTCATTGTGGGTCTCACAGAACCCACGGCACATGCAGTCGACTGAAAAGAGCCACGCTGCTTCGTCTGAGTGGCTCCTTAAAGGAGCCCCGTCCGTGCTTTCAACTGGTGAAAGTGAGAATCCCTCCCGTCAGATAAAGAAGAGACAAACTGTTTCTCCTCTCACCAGCATCATTTAATTACATTTCACTCTTCGCTGTGTTATCTGCTGGGTGTATATGAGACCCTCCCTTCAGATACTGGAACATCTGCAGGACGTCGTCCCACACATGTTCTGATATTTTTCTTGGAACTTCCAGGAATATCAAAGTGTGTGCTTTAACTGGCGTTCAATCACTGGAGGCTTCGACTCCCACCAATTGTGTCCAACAGCTGAGGCAGATTTAAACAAAAGCGTGGGGATTGCCACGCCGTGGCTCGGAGGGTCACTCTGTGGTCGTTTCGGAGGTGTGTTTGGAACGTCGGAGGAAAACTTGCATTCCTGATGCGTCCATTAGAAAGGATAGGAAGTAATTCCAGATGCGTGAAACTGTCATAGAGCGAACGCTATGTGTAAAAAAAAAAGTTTGTTTGTTTTTGTTTGTTTATTTGTTTTCCTTTTGTTGCTATTAGTTCAACTACTAGCGGTTTATTTAGTTAGCACGGGCTCCTTACGAACATAACGTGGGAATAAAGTTCATAGGCTATGTTCATTTACCGCCTAGTTACCCGATTATTAAAGGCCAAGTCTTGATATTGTATAATGAGTTTCACTCCGATAATATCGGCCAACCGATAATATCAGACGACATTACCTTAATCGTGTAATATCGGTAAGAATCGTTATCGTTTTTCTCCTCCAATAATAACAACCTGATAACGCAACGTCTCGGTCTGGCCCAGATGATGTGACCAAAGAAAAGTGAAACTATCACTCGTATTGAGCACAGTGTTGTCGTTGTGTGACATGCGTGTCCTCTGCCTTTAACCCAAACGGCTGCATCGATCGGTATTGGTTGGTATCGGAATCGGAAAATTAAGTGTTTGGACAATATCGGCATATTGGATATCGGCAAAGAGTTTATATCGGACCTTCCTAATTTATCTGCCTAGGTAACGTGAACCATGTTTTATACTTGTTACATCGGAACATTAAGGGGAAAATGTTGTCAAGGACCTACAAGGACTTTGTAGTAATGTCCTTGTAGGTCCTTGAGTGGGATGTGTGACATTAACGTTTATTTCAGAATCCAACAATGATATGCGTTCTGCGACGACTGAGAAACTCACCGTTCTGTTTTTCGTACAGGCACAACGATGGAGTCGGCTACAGTGGACCTGTCCCTGCTGACCAACCAGACGACCCTCGAGACCTGCGCCGCGGTGGAGACGACCGTCGAGAACACTTTATTCGGGTGTTACTACATCCTGGTTTTCTTCTTGGCGTTGAATGGCAACAGCTTGGCTCTCTGGGTGTTCTGTCATCAGCGAGGCGCGTCGTCTCCAGCCAACGTCTTTCTGATGCACCTGGCCGTGGCTGACCTGTCCTACGTCATCATCCTCCCGCTGAGGGCCACGTACCACCTCACGGGAGGTCACTGGCCCTTCGGCGAGGTGCCCTGCAGAGTGGTTGGCTTTCTGTTCTATGTCAACATGTATGCGAGTCTTTACTTCCTGGCCTGTGTGGCAGCGGATCGCTACATGGCCGTGGTTCACCCGGTGCGGTCCATTAAGCTCCGTCGTGCTTACTACGCTCACATCGTTAGCTTCTGCCTCTGGGCCCTAGTGATAGTTTCGATGGCTCCGTTACTGGTCAGCGCCCAGACGGCAGAGGTGGACAAGGTGACAGTTTGTCTGCAGCTTTACAGAGAGAAGGCCTCTCGTAACGCACTCATCTCACTGGCCGTGGCCTTCACCCCGCCTTTCCTCGCCATCCTGTCCTGCTACATGCTCATTATCCGAAGCCTGCATAAGGGTTCCAGGTTGGAGCCCAAAGTCAAGATGAGAGCCCTGCGCACCATCAGTCTGGTGATACTCATCTACGTGGTCTGTTTCCTGCCCTATCATCTGAGCAGGGCCACCTTCATCCTGGGGTTCAACCACCCAGACGTGTCCTGTCAGACCAGGCGTGGCCTGCGGTTGGCCAACCGGCTGACCTCTTCGCTCACGTGTTTGAACGGTGCGATGGACCCGTTGGTTTACGTGTTCGGGGCGAAGAAGTTCCACGAGACACTAAGACAAATGTTCTGCAGTAAGGCGAGTCTGTCCGCAGCCGCGAGCGGCGACTTAAAAGGAACGCACGAGAGTTCTCTGACGGCCAAGTCAGAGTTTTTATGAGCCGGGACCGAGCGGTAAACGGCGATAAAAGCTTTTGATTTTTGACAAAAATGAATCTTAACTTTTCCCCCAGTCGAGGCTTGTTTTGACAAAAATGAATTTTATCTTAACTTTTCCCCCAGTCGAGGCTTATTCTTACTGTGTCAGCGCAGATGAACAAAATGTAGCAAAACAAAAAGCGCAAAGAGGACCTACTGTACGTTGAGTTTGTCGATGGTAAACAGGAAATGAACAGCTTTCGGTTCACACCCATGCAGTTTAAAGTTGTGGGGGGAAGACCTGAAAATAGACCGCACGTGAATTCCGCTCGATTTTTATCAATATCTAAACGTGTGAGCCTCAGCTGGAGTTAGTTAGGTTTTCCTCTGTAGAAAATAATGTCACGGCGTGACAGTCGGGAGGTTTGATTGACAGTTGATCTATTGGACTATCCAACAGTATCAGTGTCCACTTCCTTTAAAAACTCCCTTTGATTTTTTTAAATTATTTTTCATAGCCAGATATAGACATGACCAACTCAGCACTTTTTCCAGGGACTCACTGAGGTCTACAGATGGCGCTGTCCATCTCATACATGCAGTCTATAGTGCCCAATATGGTAGAAAAGTAGAAGAGAATAGTTTCGTTATCGCCATTATACAAGGCACTACATTCTAAACCTATTTGGTGCCTTAAAGCAGAGGTTTCCAACCCACGGTCCGGGGACCAGTGCTGGTCCGTAGGTCATTTGGTACCGGGCTGCAGTGGGACACAGTGGGGAAAAAATGTACTTTGATGGTACTGCATTAATTGACCGCAGTAACTGCTGATACAATAAAGTGTTAGATTAGCGTTCCTCATTCAGACAGACCACGTTGATAGAATAGTAAACACCAATTTAGCGTACCACTGTTGTGTCGTTTTCACAAAATGTTTACCAACACAGGCTTCGGGAGGGTCGGGGTTCAATGCCACCCTCTCGAGTTTACTGACATGGTCTGACATCATTAGTCTGTTCCCCTGCCTTTGTCTTTGCTTCAGCACTCAGTGTGACGGACTACTTGTGGCTGGGACAGCTGTTCACTTCCAGGCACCAGGCACCGGGCTCCAGTCAGAGCCTGGGAACTCGTGTGAAGGCTCGCCCGAGTGGCTTTCATTCTCATGTCCAGTGCCTTCAGATGGAGGCGTAGGGCCTTCACTTGTAGGATGGTGGGTGGGGGATGGTGTACCCCGGTCTGATGCTTCTCCTTCTGCCCTTCTACGGATCCCATTTAGGTCCTAAAGAGTCCAGGTTAGAGGTCAGCCCTTCAGAGGTGGCAGGGTCAAAGCTCATCTCATGAATATGGAGACGCTCCAGACTCAGGGGACCATCTGCACTGACTTAAAGTATTCATGGTCAACTGTATTTCCGATTGGTCACTGATGCTAATCATTCCATTTAGGTTCTCTACACACCTACAAAGGCGCATTACATGTAAATATTTGCAAATATTGTTCAGCCCACGTCTTTTCATAGATAACATACAAGGCACAGTGTCACAAAGGTCTAGTATACAAGTACTGTTGATCAACCTGGTGGGCGTCGGTACAGGCATGAACCAGATTCAACCGGTTTTCCCGTTTGAACTTGACATGTGGCTGCAGTACCTGAACCAGAACCAAATATGCAAATCTTGTTAATAATCTAAAGCCTGTGTCCGAGACCATACATTTCTTTCGTAAAAATAGTTTTTTTTACGTTTTTAAGTTAGAGCAATGTAAAAATAGTTTTTTTTTTTACGTTTTTAAGTTAGAGCAAGGATGCCCAACCCCTGGTTTTGGGGTCTGGTGCCGGTCCATGCGCCATCTTTTGGTTGGCAACTGCTGAGTTAGCGGATAGATTATTTTACGCGATCTTTTCTGAAGTCAACATGGTCGCCCCCTGGTGGTTCACTGCTATTCCTGTCCTACTTAAGTCCCAGTTTGTGCGCATCCCAGTCTGATCCAATCATGATCCAGTGTTAAAAGTGTCCAATTTTGCACTGTTTGACAAAACTTGTCAAAAGTTGATTTTATATACTTTCTTCTTTGTCCAGCTTTGTTGTTCCCAACCTCTGGTTTGTGGACCAGTATGTGTCTGTGGGTCATTTGGTACCAGGCCGCAGAGGGCTGAGTCTAGAAGACGTTTTATTTTGGGAATTTTAACAATAGGTCGGTACTGATCGAGGTTAGGGACCGCTGATATAAAGGCGATATTAACAAATGTGTTTTTGTGTATGTTTTTTTTTTTTACAGTAAACAATTCATTCCACATTATTATGTCTTGACAAACCAATCACTGGGACAGATAATGACTGAATGAGTATTATTCAGTATTATTGTACACGTTATTATTAATATCACTATCTCCACAACGTTGTTCCTGTATTATCCTTTTTTATTTAACTATATAAACAATATATATTTTTAATTTTTACTGTGTTTCTCAGCGTCCGTCTTGATTTCATTTACTGTCACTTTCACTGGGACTTTGACGTTCACCAAGGTTTGGAGAAATAAACCCGTTTCAGACGTGGACAGAGAAACTCTCCGGCTGTTAATTTTCTCTTTCACTTGAAGTTCTCCGTTTGCGTCACACGACCCATGCTGTGGTTGGTGAGTAGCCTTTTTGCCACCTCACATTTTTGCAAGACTTCCTGTCCACTAGGTGAACGTAGCGAGCCATAGAGACGTTTTCTCAACTGAATGTGTGAGTAAAATATGCTACGAAAACCACAGAAACGTTTGTAGACGAACATGCGCAGATGAATGCCTTTTATGGTCTGCTTTGAACACAGGTCGTTTGTTTTGGGTTTTTTTTATCATTAATCAAAATATGCACTTTTTTGTGGAAAATTATTTGCAAGCCCTTTTATCAGTCAAAAGCAGAACAAGGAAGAATCAAGATAGTTGCCCTTTTTTGGTTACTTCCTCTTTTCTCTTCTTTCACTTTGCAGTCTTGACATAAACTCCAGTTTGTAGGAGAGTTAACTAACAAGAAGGAGGCACAAATAAAAACAACGTGCTGCGTTTTCATTGGAGGAAAGCGATTTCTATAACGATTTCTACCCAGCAGACAAAAGACTGTATTTCCATGCAGAGCTCAGTTTTTTTTGTTTTTTTTTTTCTCTCTTCATGAAGCTGACACACAGGACCAGGGCCCTCCTCTCTTGACTTGTTCAATGAGGAAGTTCATGGTTTGACGCAGCTTCCTTTTACTGCTCACTTAGACTGAAGAACAGGTAAGAGAAAGGACAGAAAAAGGCGTAAAAGGATGAAAACAACTAAACGTCACGCTGACTTTATTTGGTTTTTCTGGGAGATTTGCTGAAAACGAAGCAGGTGCAAAACAATTACACTCTGATTCTAGGGTGAGGAACAGGATGCAGAGTTATCAGTCCTGGTACCATGGCAATATAACACGATCCAAGGCTGAGGATCTTCTTGCCAAAGCTGCAAGAGATGGAAGTTTCCTCATCCGGGACAGCGAGTCCATACAGGGAGCGTATGGTCTCTGTGTTTTGTGAGTTTGTTCAAAATTGTTCTCGTTTTTTTTTTTTTTAAACTGCTCTTTTGTGAAAGTTTTACAGGAGTAGATAAGGAAGCCATACACTGTACAGCATGATGTGTGGCCAAGAAAGACATCTAAGACATGTATTGTGTATTGTATTGTATTGTATTACCTGATGGGAGATAATCCAGTTATAAATCTCTTAGTTTTTGTTTAAAATTTCTTTAAAAAGTCACCTTACATATTGGTACACATTACAAAGTGTTTTTCACACATACTTACTGATACAGTAGCTAAAATGCTAATATATATATACATATACATGCATATACAGTTAGACATATATGTATATATGTGTGTGTATATATATATTAATAAAATATTTAATATATATGTATTTATAAATAAAATATATAATTATAATATAAATAAAAAATATATTTTCAATCTAGGTTCAATCTAGCCCGCTTGATAAATTTTGAAAGTAAGAAAAATGCATACATGCATATATATGCAAATATATATGCATATATGCTATATATATATATATGCATACATGCTATATATATTTACCGTATATATATATACCATATATTTATATAAATATATATATATTTATATGTCTTGTGTTAATTGATTCCTTTTACCTCATGAAACTAATGAATTAGTTAATTTAATTGATTTCAAAAAGTAATTTTTAAACAAATGGTATTCTCATCGAACGAGAGCAAGTTGTTACAAATACAAACACAAATTTAACATTTGAAATTCATTACCTTGCTGCCCTGCAAAAGCCCTGCGCCCCCCATTTTTTGGAACCATTGACACATTGATACTCCACCTTCCCTCAAGATAGCGTTGTGCAACGCAAAAGTCTATTTGGGGATTGTATATTATTCACAACAGTCACCGTGACACAGCTACTGTTAGGTCACCGTGACAATGCTGGTGCACATGTTGACAATAATTAAAATATTATTTAAAACGTATTAAAATAGTCGCCTGTCCATGTTTTACTGACGCACATTTGCATTTCATCGACAGATACCAGTCATGTGTGTACACGTACAGGATCCTGCCCAGTGAGGACAAAAGGCTTTCTGTTCAGGTGGGCCAATACCGCACGGTGTAAACATTTGACATTTAAATCTATTGACTAGTATATTAGCAATGTTAGCAACAGCTACAGCTCAGGACTAGTTGTGCTGATTGTATCTATGCCAGCCACGTCAGTCAAGCAGAGTGGTAATCCAACTATTGCGTTAAATGTCATACATTTAAGTCAGTGCGACCGCCTGGAATTCGAATGGGGTCACCTGAAATGTCGAGTAATGAATATTATTTTCTTTTTAAATTTATTTAAAAACACCACGCACAATCTTAAACAACTGCATTCTTTCACTTTAATGAATATAAGTCCAGTGGAAATAAAATGCAGCATTAATATTAAGTCCATATTAATTTAAGTCCAGTGGAAATAAAATGCAGCATATAAAAATATCTGCGATCACCTGACAGATACTAAAATGTTTCTGGGGTCACCAGAAATTTATAACGTCAAAATGCGGTGACGGCCCAAAAAATGTTGGGCTCCACTGATTTAAGCTCTCTAGAGAATGGATTCCTGTGGGTTAGCAAACCTGGTATTACGAAATCGACTAAATAATGTATTAATTCCGCTTATTAGAAGGCGCGTGTTCTTATTTGGTAACTGTACATGCAGAAGGAGAACTGTGGCTTTGTATTAAAATAATGGAGGGGACTCTATAAAAAGAGAAGTGTCATGGAAAAAAAAAAATCAGAGACGAGTTGAAACGAGCTCTTTGAGGAAGTTAGAGTCAGTGAAGGGCTGGGAAAGAGAAGGAAACTGTTAGAAAGTCAAAAAAAAAAAAACAGGGAAGAAAAACTCACCCTGATCCCAACTGATGTCCTGACGTTCCCATTTTGCATCTTGATTCATCCTGACTAAATTATACACTTTTTTACTGTTCTAAACTCACCTTCAAATGTTATAAAATTATATTTTTGAAGGTTTTATGTGTTGACACATATTGCGTCAGTATTGCAATGACTGAGAAGAAGAACAAATATGCTCCAGAACTTTCACCTTTCACCTTTCACATGTATTGTAACATGTTGAGGTTTAGAGGGAAAATAATAATAATGCTTTTTCGTGCTGTTTCTGATCTGAAGCTGGAACTGAAGTAACACTATTGGTTCAATCATTTGTCTGACAAACGTTTGACTGCCACCAAGTGGTGGGAAGCTGTATCGTAACTTATCGTCTCATGGGTGACAGTGATAATCAATGCGTCTCTGCAAAATTGTAAATTGTTTTTTTTTTTGCATCCCTTCTGGTGGTATCCATGGCCCAAATGTGGGCCGCGGCCCTTTGGTTGAGAACCAGTGGTGTAACAGCAGGATGAGTGTGAGATCACAGGATCGTGCTAAATCACTTAAAAAAAGCTCTGATCTCTTGTTTTTCCCGTGGTGATCGTGAGGTCAGACGGGGACAGGGTCAGACGAGTGACCGTGGTGCTTGGTGACAATAGGTCAGAGGTGACGGAGAGGCTGAAGAATTGGATGTCTGCACTGGTGAGAAGAGAGGTGGAGATCAAAAGAAGCGAGACAGAATATGTATTTTCAATGAACTGTATTTGAAAATCACCATATTTAATGGAATATAACTTTTACAAAACATCATGAACATGAAGTGTTTGTGATTTTTTTGGCTTTAAAACCGCGGGCCGCGGGCCAAAATAAACCCCTGAAAGGGCCGGTTTTGGCCCGCGGGCCGTATGTTTGACATCAGCTGTGTCCAAAATGGTAGAATTGGTAGCGAGAAATGTTTTTATTGGTGACAAAGTTATGGTTTGTGCGTTGGCCGTTTGCTGAAGGGAGATATTTTAAACAAAGGATGTTGGTTTGTTAAATCTTTTTTTTTTCCTCTGTACATTGGTCTAAAAATATTTTAAGGAAGTGAAAATAGCTTGGGTTTCACATAGTGCAACGAAAAGAAAAAAAAAAACTTGCAAGCTTCAAGATGAGGTGTAACAGAGTTCCCGAGAATGTAGAGAATTCCGTCGCTCTCCCTGCTTAGCTTGATAATGATTATTAAGTCAAACAATGGGGCGACTG